CATCACATACGTCATCCACATCTCCATCTCCAGAACCTACAAATCATTGTCATCAAACACAACCTTCCGAAAATAATGATGAAGAAGACAATGAAACAAAGCGCGTCAAAACACTTGAAGAAAAGCGAGCTATTCGTTTAGAACGAAATCGGATTGCAGCCAAAGAATGCCGTGAAAGAAAGAAAGCTTACGTCTCGAATTTAGAACGTAGAGCTACTCAAATGGAAAAAGAAAATTCAATTTTACGTAAAAAAGTTCATGAATTAAAAGCTCAATTGGAATGGGCTGAATCGAAAACTGTTGGGCCCGTTGAGAACGGTCAATTGGAAGCGTTAGTAAGAGAATTGAAAGAAAGGGTAAAAAAAATGGAGAAGGGAGAAGATTCTAATATTGTTTTTGGCAAAATGGTTAGTCAATTGTAGTAATGTTCATAGTTTTTAAGCTTCTTTTCAATTACGATGAGCAGTTATTCTATTTAGCATGATTGATACCTTCATTGCATTTGGTCGTTTGCTCTCCTAAAAAGTATTCTTAATGTTGTCCTCGTAGGATGTATTAGATAATACAGTAGTTCGCTTATTGCAAAAAAAAAAAAAAAATACGAGGAAATTTTTTTTTTTTTTTGGAATTCGACATGCATAGTGGATCAAGAACGACTTCGCAGAGTAGGTGCGTTCCTAAAATCACGCCACAATAAACACGTAAAACGTTGGTATGTTTTATACATCACAGCATCATATGATTCTTTACTTGCACATGTGCAATACGTAGAACCGATCATACTCGCATACGTACGTATGTACTGTACATTCGTCCGTACACACGCACACGCTTATCTGTTATGATAAGATTACGTTATGGTTTATGAGGCTTATTGTGTCATGTTGAAGAGAATTTGGCAAGCCCTTTTTTTGCCCAATAAAAAATCTTGATCGTGGGATTAAGATTACACCGCAGATCTGAACGAATACATAGATAGAAAAGTCCCCAGATCTGATCTTTTTCATAGGTAACCGTGGTACGTTAGACCGAAATCGTTAAAATTTTTTTTTTTTTTTAAATCATATATAATACAAAGTAGGATTAGAATATCATTCTGGATTTCATTCCCGACATTTATTTTTGTTTTTTTTCTTGTTTTGATTATTTGATAGTTGTATCAATTTTTATAATAGGTAAGAATTACATTTGATAATAAAAATGACTTGTTGCCGATAAATTATGTACGAATATTTTAAATTTGGTTAAAATCGTCATTCCCAATTTAATCTAATCTGTTCGAACTATGATCGCTGTAGTGAAAATAAATAATTTTGAATAGGCCACTTTTCTTTTTAAGGCCTCTCTATTAATTAATTAATAATTAATAAATTTATAAAAGTTACTGTTATTCTGATGATAAAATGCTCAAATATTAAATATATTAAATTATTAAGATTTTAATAAAAACTTGTTAATTATCGTTATGCATTTTTTTTAGAATGTATCGTTTCAAGCATATGTTTATTAAGTCATAATTTGGTAATTTGTTTTATCATCATCATTCATTATTATTATTGTAAAAAAATCTAATATTAATTTATCTTTTTTTTCAGAGAAAAAACTATTTATAAATTTTTGGTAAACTATATTAAATTCAATCTTACGAAATTTGATTTAAGATAAAACTAATTCAAGCCATATGATATCATAAAAATTTAACAGAATATTACGTAAAAAAAATATTATCTAAGGTATAATAATTCTACTAATATTAGTAATTTCTTTTCTTCTAATTATAATCTAACGATTGAATCTCCTCTCGATCATTTCATCATGATTTCAAAGTTATATATAAAAATGAATACATCTTATCCAATACTCAATGACCTGTTCGTTTTCCTTAATAGCACAATTACACATATTTCAATAGTTTATTCAAGAATTCCAGGTTCAGGAATTCTTTTGAAATATATAAAAAATTCTCACCAAAATGATCCATTTCGCACTTTTTTGGAAGTTTTATTGGTACTTTTTGGTATTATATATTTGCTTACAAAGAAATACCGTACCGATAATAAATTAATCGATCTAACTCCGAGCGTAAGTCTCCTGAATTATATTAAAAATTATTTTTGTCTTATTGTTGTTAAAAATAGTGGTTCTTTGAAATTTTTTTTAGGAAGTTGAAGAATTAGTTGACGAGTGGCAACCAGAACCACTTGTACCAACTATTACAGAAAATCAACGTATAGAATTGGAAAAAACTCCAGTTCTAAATGGGTAGGCTTTAATCTTGGTCTAGATTCTCTAAATTCTCTAGGTTCTATGATTATTTTGATCTTCATATGATCGATATTTAATTTGTCAATCTTTTATATAATAATAGTCCTCAGGGTCCAAGAGTTAAATTAGTAAATTGCAAAAATAGTTCTTTGATAAACCTGGCCAGTTTTGACTTCCTTGGATTAACAAAAAATGAGCTAATTAAGGTATTTAATTATTAATAAATTAATTATCTTTAATCTTTTATAAATTGTTTATGGAAATGAGTAGTTGATGATTTGCAATAACATTATTACGTTGTTTATTTAGGAAAAAGCTATACAAATTCTTAGAAAATATGGCGTAGGTTCATGTGGACCTCCAGGATTTTATGGCACAATTGGTATTTTTCTTATTTAATAAATAATATATTTCATACTTTTGGAATAATATTCAACTTATAAATGTATACATAATACAGATGTTCATACTGAATTTGAAAGAACAGTTTCAGAATTTCTCGGAACAGATGACACTATATTATATTCTCAGGCCTTTTCTACTATTGGTTCTGCTATTCCTTCATTTTGCAAAAGAGGTGACATTATTGTCGTGTAAGTTATTATTCTCTTAATTCTCATTATAAAGATTTTTTTTTTTTTTTAAAAAAAAAAAATTATCTATTATCAGTGATCAAGGATGTAACTTCGCGATTCAAAAAGGTATACAAATTTCTCGCTCTGTCGTTAAGTGGTACAAGCACAATGATATGCAGGATCTTGAAAATATTTTACTAAAAATTAAGAATGAAGATATCGAGGTATGTTAGTTCTGTTATTTCTCCTTACAATTTCAAAAAAAAACATTTTTTTTAATTTTATTTATTAGTCTGGAAGAAGGCTCACTAGAAGATTCATTGTCACTGAAGGTATATTTGAGAATTCTGGAGATATTGCTCAATTACCTAAATTGGTACGTTAAACATTGCTTTTTTTTTCTTCAGTGTATTGATGTCTAAATTGTATCTTAATGGTAATTTTTAATTTTAGCTTGAATTAAAGAAGAAATTCAAGTATCGACTTATTCTTGACGAAAGCCTGTCAATTGGAACATTGGGTAAACGCGGTGCTGGATTAACTGATTATTACAATATTAATGTAAGTCATTTTATTCTTTTTTGTTTACTGATGATTTATATTATTTATGTTTCTTATAAACATTGTATGATTACGTACTATAGCCAAAGGAAGTCGACATGATTGTTGGTTCCATGTGTACTGCATTATGTTCTTCTGGTGGTTTTTGTTCCGGTTCATTTGAGATCACTGATCATCAGGTTTATATAATTTTAATATAATTATTATTAAAATGTTTAATTTGAATCGTGAGAACCTACTCATATTGTTTTTATTATGTCATGATAGCGAATTTCTGGTCCAGCATATTGTTATTCTGCTGCTTTGCCTGCAATGCTTTCAGCATGTGCCACAGAATCTATCAGGAACTTAGACCGAAATCCACATCTTGTTGCAAAGGTTTCATCAAATACAAGTACTTTTAAAAGCAATATGGCGAATGTTAAATATGTTACAGTTGATGGATACGCTGACTCTCCAATGTTTCATTTAAGATTAAATAAAGATGTAAAAGCTAATAACACAGAAGAAAAGGAGAAGTTTCTTCAGGAAATTGTTGATGAGGTATGTTTTAAACCATTATACAATATTTTTTAAATCATTTGAATTCTTTATTAATTAATTTAATTAATCAATTGTAAATTAAAGGCAATTAATAATGGAGTGTTGTTAACTCGTGCAAAATATGTGTATGGACAAGAAATATTTGGCATAGAACCCAGTATTCGAATTTGCATCTCTGCAAGTTTTAGCAAAAAAGAAATCGAAAGGGCTGCGGCAATTATTAAAAGCGCGATCAATAAGGTTTTGAAAAATAAAGTTCGATAACTAATATTAGTTGTATTTAATTTGCTCTTGTTTAATATAATTGTAATTTTAAATTGTTCTTATAAAAACATTTTAAGATTTAACTATTAATTGTTCATTTGTACTATGCATTTGAATAAATGTTTATTAATGCTCTATGTTTTTTAAACATAGCTGTAACTAGAGATTAGGCCCGGTATAAAATTTACTTCCGGGTTACCCGTCAGCTTATTAAACCTTTACCTGGGTAACGACCCAGTTAAGCTGGTTGATCCGGTTGACCGGTTAACCCGGTTTTAATTATAAGAATTGGTCTTCGCGTGATTGTAGACAACCTTCAAAATCATTAAACCAGAATTGGTTTTATATTAATTCGCATTATTAACAAGATTCAAGTTCATTTAATATTTGCAAAACACTATAATGAATAAATTATAACGGATATAACGGATTAGTTTTTTTATTTAGTGAGTGCAATTAATAAATAAAAAATTGCAATATTTTTTTTACATTTCTTTTTTTTTTTTTTTTTGCTTAAATAAAAAAAAATATTAAGTCGCAATTTTAAATCATCAGCAAATCGCATATTTTAATATACCGCATGCTTCCTGGTGGGCCATGAATTTTTTCGTGATATTCGTCCAACGATATTGTTGCATATTCATCGCGTGATATATATTTGTTTCTATCCGGGTTATCCGGGTAGCATAACCATGACCCGGTTAAGGAATGCTTATAAGGGTTACCCGGGAAGCCTTAACCGGGCTTCTTCTCTAGCTGTAACGTCGCACTTTTTATAGAACTCTTAAAAAAGCATTGTCATTATAACAATTATTTTTATTAATTGTATTCATTTTTACACAATGCCTCACATAAAGAATTTACTGTTTCTTAATATGTATTACGATAATAAAAATATCTACTGTACTTTCGCCTTAATGTTGGCCACATTTACAGTATGACTGATTTGATTGGTTGTAAACGCGTCAGTTTAACCAATCACGTGGACAACGAAACGTAATATCGATTGGTAAAATTTCCCATGAGATATTTGGTTTGAACACCTGTCTTTTATATTTTCGTGTTTTCATTTACAGGTTCGAAGTTAAAAATAACACTAATCTATCAACATAATATCAGCCATTTTGTTGATAGATTAGTGATACGATCCGTGTAAATAAAAGTTAGTACTATTATTCCTCAGGATGGTGAGAAGAATAAACTAGTTTCCCAGTGACGTGTGTGAAAGTGCAAGGCATCTCCTACATGCACCGCTAGGAAAACATTTCCCTAACATAAATGCATTTCATATGATGGCTCGTGTATGATTATTTTTATCATATTCCTTCATTTACGTTATAAATTTTCTGGGAGATAAAAATCTGGAGAGATAACTTATGAAAAAAAAAAACAAGGTTTATGATAAAAATTGCGATTAATAACATATAATTCCCCATCATATAACCATAATGAACTGTAAATATCTTTTATGTTTTCAAAGCTTCTATTTTATGTTTATAAATACAACAGAAAGCTAACAAATCACTAAATTTAGTTTGGAAGATTTGTATATAAACTTTTTCTATAATGAACTCTTAAGAAACCATTTTTTTATAACAAATTATAAATAATCTTTAATGAAGCTAGAAACCTTAAGGAATTTTTAACTAATCAAAAGTAAATAACACCAATGAATATCCGAATACGCATTCATTTCATTGAATTGAAAAATTCAAAGAATATGCTTAATACGAATTGGAAAGTAAAATAAAATTGCGAATATTTACTGTTACATTGCTCTTTCATTTCATTCTTGCTGTATGTAAAAATCAAAATTTTATCAGTTCAAAATGGCATAGGTTGTAATGGAATTCTAAATAAACTTGAATGTTAAAAGAACTCGATTTATTCATAATATGATATTGGTAATTTATATTAAACATGTTTCAATTTTTTTTTAATTATTATAACTTTTTATACTAAACTTTATAGAGCAATATTAGTTTATAAATTTTTCGATTTTTTTTTGAAAACCATTTACACAAAAAGTTGATGCCATTAAAGATTAATATATACTTCAATTTTAAACAAAAAATTTTAACACTTAGAACTCATTATGGATGTTCTATGGAATAGGTGGGTAAACTCCGCCAAATATCACGGGAATATATTTATCGGCGAAGCTTATTTCTTATATTGCCCGCCTATTCTATAGAGCATCCCTTATTATAAAGCAAAATTTCAAAAACCTAACTGGTAGCTTTGTTTTTATAAGTTTTATAAAATGGCAAATAGTTTCTTAAACTATAGCATCTTATGTAGATTTAAAGTTAGGCCACGCCAATTTGATTCATGGACCCATCCCTTCTATTTTTAAAATTATATATATCAACCAATTAAATTGCAGTATTGGCTTTTTGTATTTTTTACAGCCAATAGAATTTTTTGCCCTTTTTTGTGAGCTATTTCATGTTGTTAGTGACCTTAAAAAATTAACTAATTTTAACCCCGGGCTAAAATTATATATAAATTTTAACCACCCATAATTTATTATTAATTTCTACTCAAATTTTAAATTTAAAATTAGAATTATATAAAATTAAAATAGAGTTAAGATTAGGGTTAGAATTAAAGCTAGAATAGGGTTTTTATAGAGCTAAATATTTTAGTAGTGCATCAAACGTGATTATATAAGCTGTTTTAGAATTATAATAAGAAGGCGGTTTTGTTAATCAGGGAGCAAAAAATATTGAATAAAAAGCTTACTAAACTTTATTATTTTAAGAAACAACTTATTCATAATATTCGTATATATAACCTATATTCATCACTTGTATACGTGGATAGTCAAACTTCTAAAAAGAAAGGGTTCGAGGTTTGTTTCACATAACTTAAGTTAGCAAGATTTCAGACGTGCAAAAATCATAACATAAAATATTACACAAAAAACAGTTTTTTTGCAAGATTTTTGTCTAAACGCTCTAAACTCATTACTCGACCTTATTTAAATGATGCTTTAAAAGGCGATAACGAAACTTCAGTGAAAGCTTAGTTTTTTTTTAGACGAAAATTTGCAGAAGCCCGCATATATAATACAAGTTTTATCTAGAACGTTAATAGCGCTTATATCATTAAATAAAAAAAACTTTTTACTATTTCCGACTGATGAACTTTCAAATGAGAGTCGTCAAGAGAAAGCATTACTTTGAACTTTCGATTTTCAGATTTTATTATTTAGGATTTGACTTTTTAAAAACCTGATACAGTAGTAGCATATACTGATACATGTATGATGCGTAATCACATGCACGTTTATATATGTTGCTGATTACTCCCTAAGCGCACACCCTCCTTAAATGCACATACAGATTCTGACCCAAATGTATACATGACCTCCATAAATGCACTTTTTCTTATTGTTCTCTAAGTGCAATTCTGGTCCCGAGTGCGTGCACTTAGAGAGGTTTACTGTATTAGATTTTTCACGATAAATAATAATAATAAACATGAAAACCTGGAGCCTCATTTTCTCTTAGTATTCAAATGATTTCTACTTATATCTCAGGTTCATGCGTTTATTCAATCTTTTTAATCTCAGTGAGCGAGCTACCTTCTTTTTTTGCTCATTTTTTTTATTTCAATTAACTATACCATATTATTTCATACTACGATAACATTGCATATCTCATTAATCTATCTACCAATTTTGTCGTTAATTTTTCTTACATATCAACATGAAATCCTTGCTAACAAAACTCTCCATGTAAATCAGGCCCCATTGTTAGCAAAAATCCCAATATGGTATGGCCATTATACCGAAAGTTGAAATAATTATAATTCCGAAAAGTGTGCATACCAGATACTGAAATATTCCGAAAAATGGAATAATTACTAGAAAAACGGCGACGTTTTGTAGGCTGGAGCCTTAATTCTTAGGCCTTACACTTTAGAATTAAAATTAAAATATATTTGAATTTTATAGATTGCTATTACATATCTAATATCTCGCGAATCATGTGCAATGATTTATTGGACGATAAACATTAATTAATTTAAAAATGAAATCAAAGTTTT